CTAATTTGTTAAAGGTAAACCATGGATGTTGCTCAACCTTTCGGCCCTCAAGCTTCAACCAACTCTCAAGGGCACATAGGGTCTCAAAATATTACTGCAGAGACAAAGAGAAATATATCTAACATCCCTCATCATGTTTTCCAAATATTCCCACAGCAGCTTGCCTATTGAAAAGCAGAACTGCAATCAAGAGTGAATTAAACACAATGCCTGGCATCCCAATCATATCATCCAGAGACCTGGATCCATATCATATCATCCAGAGACCTGCATCCATATGTGACTTTTATTGTGCTTCAGAGTGATTTGTATTAAACCAATGCATTCACCTGGATATAATACTAGAGTCTCTCTGTCTCCCTCCCTCCCCCTCCCTCCCTCCCAGACTCAGAAAAACATAGCTGAAGACAGAGAGGCTGGAGGGAGTGCAAAAGTGGTGTAAGAAGGCTATTTGGATGTGACAAATCTTTACAGCAACATTCAATGTAGTCAATAGCCATTATGAAATGCCTTATTGCTCCACAATTTGAGCTAACCATGGCTATGAAATCACTGCTAGAAATATCAGTGCACCTTGCTATTCCTCATGGAGAAGAGGCTGAAGGGAAAAGAAATTTGCTCCACAGACTGGAGGTTAGGAATGTTGCGGCCTAACACTTAAGTTGGGGAAAATTCATCTAATAGAACTGTGTGACGGAAGAAAAACGAGTACATGCTTCACTACAGAGCCGGTCTAGAAGTTAAAAGCTACAAGAAGCTGGAGGAAATTAATAAGTGACATTACTTCCCAGTCCAGTCTCTGGCCTATAATACAGTCACACAAAAGCCACAGACCATATGTTGTCAGGGAAGCTCAGAGTCATTCAGACTTCTTCACGGTAACGTGCACAGTTTTTATAGAAGAAGAGTTCCAACTGTGATATAAGGATTTGCTCTTCATGCTATCGCCTCAAATGTGTGAAGGGATAACTGACTGCAATTATCAGGATGATAGGAAATACTGTGTGAACAATTGAATTTGGACAGAAAGTCATTCTCGTACTATTGTAGGAGGAGACGCACATTAGTCAATGGGAGCCAAAATCAGGAGAAGTCTGATAGCACTTTTTCTGGCTAGCACATTTTATTAAGAGGCATAAATTGTCATGAGCTGCAGCTCATTTGATCAGATACATGAACTGGCTAGACGAGTGATTGCGAACCTTTTCAGCACCGAGTGCCCAAACTGGAATACATGTGCATGTGCATGCGCCAGAGCACCGGAAACTCAAAAACCAGCTGGCTGGTGCTCATGCATTGCGCCAGCCAGCTGGTCTTCAGGTTTCTGGTTCGCGCATGCACACCGGCCACTGGTCTTTGTGTGCGCTGGACCACCGGAAACCCAAAGACCAGCTGGCCAGTATGCACATGCCTGTTTTTTAGGCTGCTTTCAGACCATTTTCGGGCTGTTTTCAGGCAATTTTCAGGCTGTTTTTGAGGCTGTTTTCAGGCCATTTTTGGGCTGTTTCAGATGTTTTTCAGGCCATTTTTCAGGCCAAAGATGCCTCAAAAATGCCCCCCAAACTACCTGAAAACGGGCCAAAAATGGCCTGTGTTTTGGCTGCTTTTCGGGCCATTTTCTGGCACTCTGGTGCCTGCGCTGGAAACCAGAAGAGTAGCTGGCGATGGCATGGTGCCATAGGTTTGCCATCATGGGGCTAGACTCATGTGGGAGCCTCGGTGGTGCAGCAGACTAAGTGCTGTTAAGTGCTAGCACTTAGCTGCCAGCTGCCTGCAATTAGTGCAAGTTCAAATCTCACCAGGCTCAAGGTTGACTCAGCCTTCCATCCTTTCGAGGTAGGTAAATTGAGGACCCAGATTGTGGGGGCAATAAGCCAGCTTTGTATAGAACAACACCGCTTGGGGGGGGCCAAAGCCCTACTAAACAGATATATACATAAAAGTATGCAGGCTATTGCTATAATGCATTGTAAGCCGCCCTGAGTCTACGGAGAAGGGCGGCATATAAATTGGACTAACAAATAAATAAATTTAAATTGGGATGATGCGAGGGAGGGGGGACATGGTGATGCAGATACATGTTACCTGTGAGACAGATTACAGATACCTTATAAATATCATCTTACTACCTCTCCCCAATTTAAATCATACATTGGTCAAGTCACTCCATGCATGTACTGAAGTGAGTGACTCACGAAAGTGAATGGCTCTTAATAAATTTGTTAGGTGGAATGTGTGCTACTAGATTTCTTTTGATTTTTCCTTCCTTTGGCAACTAAGAGAAGCCAGTTCCACCATTAATTGGAGTGATAGATTTTTTTTAAAAATGTAGTTTAAGATAGACATTAGATCCAGCACATTTCATTTAGAAATGAAAATGTAGAACATTCCTGGAAAAGGTAACTTTTATAGAGAACTTTAAAACTGCCTCTAAATTATACTGGGTTTATTGTTATACTTTTTTTCACCTTGAAGAGAATGATGTATTCAAGGTCCTTTTAAAACAGTAAAGAATTGGAATAGCTAGTACAAATCCCAACTTGGATTTCTTAATAATGCTGAAGTACTGGCTAATCATTTTCATACTGGAAATTGTGTCCAACATATCTGGAGCACACCAAGTTTGGAAAGGCTGCGTTAGCCAACAGTAGCAGGATCCTTTACAAAATGTTCTTGGTAGTTTATGAACTCAGAAGTGTATCTGGTCAATTACTGCAAAAGGGTTTTCAAAAGGGAAGGAGGAACAATACAGAGCCTTTCCATTTTCTCCAACAAATTTAAGGATGCCTTTCTTGGCCAAGTTGAAGACACATCATCTTAAAACTCCAGGCAGGACTTGGATACTTTTGTTTTCAGCAGATCCTCCTGACTAATGATAAACTGTCTTTGAAATGAAGGCTCAGTTCAAAACCACTTGGTGACAGGAATAGGTATTTGCATACGTGGACCTCAGTATTCAAGTTGCCAGTCCCATAGGACCGGCACAAGCCTCCTTGCAGGAGATCAAGCAGTTTTTTATGCCAGCCAGATTCAATCCTACTTCTTACTCGTCTGTAATGTCTGGAAACCAATTCTTTCTATGGTCAGCTTTTCTGGATAATAAATGCATTAGATCCACCCTCCACAAATCTCTGGCGTGTCTAGCTGGATCCACTATCATTACTAAGCAGTCTGTGGCTGTTTTTACTCAGACTGCCAAAACTGAAGCTGTAGTTCAGTAGCAGAGCTCCGTTGTTAGCCTTGAATGTTTCTCAGCCTTGCAGAATGCTGGCATTTCTGTTCATTAGGAGAGGCTGAAGCATTGTTATCATTTTGTGTACTGCTCTGGCCTCTCACAGCAAAAGAATTGTTTGCTTGCTTCCTCTGTCCACAGCTAAAGGAAGAGGCATCCTTTTCACTCCTTAGACAGAAGAGGTTTTCTACAGCTTCCTAAGAAGCCACCAGCAATTTTGCCACAGCTGCACCGCATACAACAGATCCCTTCACACAAGCCAACAAAACTAATGAGAGACCTTTGCCAAGGGAAGGGTCTGGCAGTGCCAATCATGAGGCTGTAAAGTTAATCAATGCAAAGCAGAGCCAAGACAGAATAAGGGAGCCCCAATAGTCAGATTATCCTTCTTCCTCCCCCCTCCCCAACCAGCCTCAGCAATGTTTATCCCACACCTCATCATGATCACAGCACCACACCTGCTGTTTGCAACCGGAGTCAAAGCAGAAGAGATTTTCCTGATGTCTGAGGAGTCATGCAGAAAGCTGGCAGGGAGGAGTGTTCAAAATAAAAGGCAACACTGAAAAGCAGCCAGAATGAAAAGCCTTAGGAGAGCAGCTCCAGAAAAAGCAGCAAAAGAAAGCCTTTCCTTTCTGCAGACAAGAGAAGATGGCACTGGGCCTTTCTCCCAGGAGTGAGGACTGTTCCTGGATCCAAAGCAGCTTTTCCCTTTTCTTCTCTTGTGGCCTCACTCTGAACCTCTCTCCAATCACCTTGATCATCAGACGCTGGCAGAAAGTGGCAAAAAGAAAAAGACATAGGGGCTGGGGCTACTATGGCACCTTTTACTCTTGGGGGGGAACATAATCACATGGGCAAATCTCCCCATCACCACCAACCGCCCCCCCCCCACTACCAAATCTGGTTCTAATAGCTTTGTGAAACTGAGAATCAGGTGAACCAGCAAACATTGGAAGAAAATGTGTTTGTGTATTTCAAATCCTGGTTTTGTGGGAAGGATGAAATTCAAGATGGTGGGTGCCACATTGACTTTTCTGACAATGCAGATACCCTTGTATACAAGCAGAACTTTGTCAGAAGTCTGGGAAAGTTGAACTGATAATTTGTTTATAACTATAAGGGAAGAGAGTAACACATGCAAAGCACCTGCCTTACTCACCAAATAACCTTAACTAGGGAGTAAGAGTTTTATTTATACGTTCTAAGTATAAAGATAAAGATAGTCTTTATCTATGTAACAATATTATTGCTGGGGGGAATGTTAAGATTTCTTGCTCAGATTTACACCAAGGCATAATCTGGTTTTGTTGGTTTGGCCAATGAAAGAAAATGTCAAAAACACTTTGATTTATTTCACAAGCTATGATTAAATAAGGGTTGGTATAATGTATGAATCAGAATCATTCCTCACTCCCACTTCCTGTGCTATAATTATGGATGTATATATTTAAATAATCACAAAGCAATAATAACAAAAAAGTATAATATAGAGACTGGCACTGGGAGACCCAGATTCAAGTTTACCTATAGCCAGGCATCTTCTCTCTATCCAGTTTTCTTCTCAGCATTGTTGTGGTGGGGAAAAAAGATATGAGGGAGCTATTTTGAGAGGAGGGGGGGGGAGGAAAGAGAAAGAGAGAAAGAGGGAGGGAGGAAGAATACAAGCAGGTAGAATTCCCTTGTGTATATTTTCCAAGACCTCAACTACTAAAGGCTATCACAGCTGGAGTTTAAACTCTAGCCTTTCCAAAGATAACTCCTCACTTACCTGAAGTATCCCACATGTTAAGCTCAATGCGCTGCTTCTCAATCTCAAAACTGGCTGTGTAGTTCTCAAATACAGTAGGGACATAATTCTGCAGGGAATGGATAGAAAGGAGGGATCAGAATGTATATCAAGAATCAGATACAGGACTTGTAGAAATGGGAGTTTACTTCCATCAGATTGTCCACACTCTTCTTCAGACTACTCTCAAAAGCAGCCATTCTGGCGTCTTCACTCTATTCTTGATATGATACAAACAGGCCTTGGCTGGGAGGGCAAAATGTAGGTGTAAGCAACACCCACTGTGCCCTCCAGATGTGCTGGACTAATATTGTCAAGGCTCCTTTGCAACATGAAGCTGATGGAAGCAGTAATCCAAACTACCTGAGTGGCAGTTTGCTTACTCATGAGTTACCCCAAGATGAAAGCAACTGCTTACAGGCAGTCCTCTAGAAGGGCTTGGAACTGATACTAGATTTTTAGAGCTCCCTGAAGAGACGAAGGCTCTTTTTTCAGTCGTCAGCATTATCCACAGAATGGGACCCATTGTTCTATTATCAAATGACCCCTTTCCATCCCTAGTTTCCTAATTTTCAATTTTTTAAAATTCCCATATTTTCCTTGAGCAGATCTGATTCCTGTCCTTCACATCACCCTCCACCAGAAACTGCCCTTGAACATCCTTCCTTCACCAAGAATCCCGGGCTCTACTTTTCCTCCTGCATGAGGATCCATACACTTTGCCTTGTTTCCCCAATCTCACAGTCTACCTTGAAACCGGGTTTTCAATCTCTGCCCCCTACCTGAGCTGTAACCGAGCAGCTTGCGGAGTCCTCCATAAAGTAGTCCATGTAGTCCATGGTCATTGGGCTCGTGTATCCTCATCCCCGCCGCTGGACCTTCGGGATGGGACCAGAGTCCGTGCCCACCGCGCCAAGAGCACTCTCCACGCGCCACCTGCACACCCAATCGGTCGCCCTTACTCACTTCCATTGCTTCCCACCGAATCCACTACCCCGGTCCACAATGTGACCTCCGCAGCGCGGTCCCTTTGGACGGAGCCCTCCCGCCCCATCCTTTCGACCGGCCCTCCGTCCGCTCCCCTCGCTCCCCTTCAAGGTCCCGTGCGGTTCCTCCATCCCGGGCCGCCTGCACTCCTCCGCCCTTGCCCCGGTTCTCCTACCTCAGGATAGGCGTCCTTGGCGAAAACATGCAGCAATGCCGTCTTGCCGCACTGGCTGTCGCCAACCACCACGATTTTGCAGCGCCCTAGCTGATTCTCCATGACGGCCAGCGTCCCCGCTGTTGAGTGAATGACCGACCACCGACCCGCACACTACGCGCTGCCTGCTAGCCCGGCCGGCCCCAAAGCATCGCAGTTCGTCGATCGCTCGCTCTCCTGCCTTCTCAATCCCGGCGACCGGCTACCGACTCCGCTTTCCGGCTCCTTATGCCGCACCCCCGGCTCCGCCCTCCCGGCCCCCAGTGCTCGCGGTCCTGGTGCAGCCAGAGGTTCAATCATCGGCTCTGCCGCCAGGGGGCGCCTTTTGCTTCTGTCACTTGCAGGGAGAAAAAGGCTCCGGCAGCGACTGAGACTCATCAAGGTTTGCGCAGATCATCTGCGCGGAGACTTCTGGCAGCTCGAAAGCGTCGCTCGCAAAGTTCAAAACTAACTTTCAGCTAGGAAAAATTAATGATGATTTTGCATGCTGTGCTGAACTACATTTACATTATTTTATAATTTGGAAGGAGGACTTTTTTTTCTGTTTATTAACCGTGCTGGACTTACTATGGGATAACACACCCCTTACAAAAGGGGTAACAAATTTAAATGCCTTCATAATGTTGTCTTAGTTGAAGGGACTGCAGGACTTTTATTTTTTAGACGGGGCAGGAAGAATAACTATTTTCTTTATGTTTCACCCGTTCTGTACTTTTGCATCTCCCATTTTATTCCTGCAAACTGTTTCATGCTAAAAAAAATCTTACTTAAAAAAAAAGATCTAAACATAGAAGCAAATATTACAGGAATGAATTGGGCATTCGAAATAATTTCTTACTAAAATGTTGGATAGGATAGGATAGGATAGGATAGGATAGGATAGGATAGGATAGGATAGGATAGGATAGGATAGGATAGGATAGGATTAAAAATTTTATTCTAATAGTAAAAACTATTTCAAACTTAGGCTAAAGCAAAAAAAAAGGAGAAAGTAAAAGAGAAAAAGGGAAACAGAAGAAAGATAAAGATTATAATGAAGAGAACAAAATATATAAAGAAGTAGCTTACAATCTTTCATCATAAATATAAACAAATTTAGTGACTTGTTTTGCCCCTCTGAATACAAATATTTACCCCATATCCCATCTCTTATCTACAAATAAATCCATAAACATCATCTTTTCAGTTCTAGTGTCAGCAGAAAATCCATAAAGGGTTACCAAAAATAACAACATATCTCAATCAAATAAACTGTCTTTGTATTTCTTTCTTTTATTTTTAACTGTCTTAATCTTCAACTCAAATATTTTTGTTAGATTTGATTTCATTTATTTCATTGCACTGAATTCTTCAGGTCTTTAACAACCCTGTTTTGTAAATCCAATAATAAAAAAATATCCAGGTCACTTTCTTGGTTTACAATTTATAATTATAGTTTATAATTTGTATTTCTCTTTTTATTTTTTAAAAATACCAGACAGTTTCTTTTGTATATCTGGTGGGACATCCTTCACCAAGTTGTTGTTTTAGCCATCATTTGCATATCCACTTTCATTACCATCTCTATCTTGTCAGATAAAATTTGTTCCACATCTGTCATTTCTTCATTAACATACGGTATTTGGACCTAATCTATCCACAGAGGAAGATATCATGACTGAAAGAGTCTGTCAGTAGTTGTGACTACTAATTTTGGTCTAATTTTTCAAAACTCTGTAATATTTTCAGTCTTGTAACATTTTACAACATGTTATAGATCCCAGTTAATTAACACAAAAGGTAGATTTATGTGTCCCCCCTTCCTGCCTTGAATTAGTCCCCCTAGTGTTGAATTTTTAAAATAATTGGTCTTGCAAAAACCAAGAGATCTACAGTATTTCCCATGTTGCTTATAATTAATTCCAAAATTTTATTTTAATGGTTTCTAGATTTCAAATTTATTTGGATCTCTAGTCCATTTATAAAATTCTAAGATCACTACTTTATTTAGCTTTTTACTGTTTATTTCATTAAAAAAAATCTTAAGCTTCTAATTAAATTTTTCTTTCATTCAGGATTGAAATCAAATCATCTGCTGCTTTCAAATTTTTCATTGCAAAGTCTCTAATAGTTAATAAGCAATTTCTGAAAAAGAAGTTAGCAAACTTAGTGCTGTTTAATAGGCACCAACTGCAGTTCTCAGCAAGATGGCTATTTCTCTTATTTCCCAGCACTTACATCCATGGTAGAGTGATCTCCTGCAGTGTCCTGACAGATCAGCTGTTTGGAGCACAGGTAGATGATCCCTTCTTCTCTCCTTATCTGGAAAGTTTTCAAACAACCATAGCTCCTCGGCCTTTGCCATGGTTGTAAGCTCTGTTTTCTTAGAGATGTCTTTAGTCAACCAAAGTCACTCTTAAACATTAACAAGATTTAAAATATTTTTTCTTATTCTTTTCCCAAAGAGATAGCCACCCGTTAGATTATTGTGGCAAAATCCTCTTTAAAGGCCCACAAATTACTATGGCGGAAGCTTCCATCAATGAGAAATGAATACACCAGCACAGATCCAGCATTTGGGTTTCTTAAATCTGTCTTCAGTTTCTCTTTTAATGCTCCAGATTTGGTGTGGACATTTGTTAGAAGATAACAGATGTTACTCTCTTCATGTGAGTCTCCAAAGCTGATACAGTATTGTACTCAAAACAGAAAGGCCATTTTGTGTCTTTTTTTCTTTTGTGCAGATAGAGACTATTTTCTCCTTTCGCCACATGGGGGAAGAAAGTAGAAGATGCTGCAGTGAATGTAACAAATCTCTCAGATGAAGACATCCTTGAGTTGGGAGTTGACCTCTTGGTGACTGCATGGAAATTTTGTGGCATGGCTACAATCACCGTTTCATTCAAACAATGAATTCAATGGCCTCATAAATGTGGGTACAAGCACAGAGCAGCTTTTCCGTGCTGATTTCCTTCCTCATGCAGTGGATTGCAACACTCAGCATCCATGGATATAATAGCCATGCACATATGTATGACATACAAATGCATCCATATCATTCTTCTTGTTCTTTGTGCTACTCCCGTTATAGCACGGGTTTGTAAGAAGGCATCCATTTCATTATTTATATATAACTTTTTGTTCGTTTCTGACATTCACTGATTAAAATGATTACTGGTCTGTAACTACAAACCATAGAATACAGAAGAAGAATCAGGCAAGAAGTTCATAGCCTGACTCTCCCTGCATCAGCTCTGACAGCAAGTGATCTAATACTGTTGGTCACACCCAAGTTTTACTTCCCAGCCTTTCTTCCAGGGCCTTTATAATTCCAGATTTGGTTTGGGCATTTGTTACAAGACAACAGATGTCATTCTCTCATTCTGAATAGATCTATACACAAAAACACCAGTGGACATCAGGAATGATCGGATCCTGAGATGTAGGACATAGTTATCTGCCAGAACATTCTTGTTAAACAAGCTTAATGCCTTGAATGCTGAATGTAAAATTCTGGTTGGAGAATGCTGAATTGTATCATTTTTTTCATGCTCCATGTGGAAATTAGTTTACTAGTCTCAGAATGTTTTGTTGTTGTTAGTTGCAAAGTCATGTCCGACCCATCGCGACCAGTGGTGGGTTTCAAAAATTTTCACTACCGGTTTGGTGGATGTGGCTAGGTGGGGGCATGTGAGTGAGTGGATGTGGCAAACTTGACATCACTCAGTCACATGAAACACCCCCCCACAACCACACCCATAGAAAGAGGTAGGAAAAATTTTGGAATTTCCACCTATCTATCCCTGGCCCCGTTTCCCCTCCTTTAGTGGCCCTGGCCCTAGCCCCACTTCCTCCCCCACCATCACCTCTTTGTTTGGGCTGCTTACCTTCCGCGGTGGCTGGTCCAGAGTCTGGAAGGCAAGCTGACCGGAGTTTTTGGTGAGCCCCAGCCAGCTGCTGCTGCTGCTGGAAAGCAGTTGGCAAAGAAGTTTCATCTTCAGGATCTGGCCTTCTAAAGAGCAGTCAGGGTTGATCTCCTCTAGGACTGACCGGTTTGATCACCTTGCAGTCCAAGGGACTTGCAGGAGTCTTCTCCAGCACCATAGTTCAAAGGCCTCAATTCTTTGGTACTCAGCCTTTCTTATGGTCCAGCTTTCACAGCCATACATTGCAACTAGGCAAACCATAGCCTTGACTATACACACTATGCATACTTTTTAGTATGCTTCAGAATGTCTATATAATCATTAACACTGCCCTGTTTAGGAACCTTTGCAGATCTAATTTTTGGTGGAATAAAGTACAATGTACAAGATGGCAAGAACCATCTTGGTGATTAAAGGCCTATGCCAGTGTTGGAAGAAATGTCCACCTGGGTTCAGTTCCAAGTGGGGAAAAAGACACTGGATTCATGGAAGTTGCTTGGAAAGAAGATTTATTGATGTACAGGATCACAAGGCTTGAGTTCCTAAGCAGAAAAGGGGTGAGATTGATGATGGGGTCATGCAGGGGCAGCTCTGTAGTCTGTCCTGAGTCCCAAGCTTGGTTCAGCCTTGCTGGTGATGATGTAATGAAGGGGCTTTGGGCAATTCGTCTTATGGCTCTGCTAGAAGGAGGTACATCTTTGTTATGTAGAATAGACTGGCCCAGGCCTTAATGGCCCATCAACAAAGGTGAGGAGCTGTGTTTGTTATGTATATAGTTTTGGCAGGAGATTTAAACAACAATGGGTCACTTGTGATTGGTCAGCTGCCCGGCTGGCCGGGTATATAAGGAGGGCTGTTTGCCTGTAACTTTTGCTGAAGCCTCACTCTACATTAAAGAGCTGTTGTCACTACCTTGCTTCTGCCCCCTCAATCGCCCAATTTAACACTGGCAGTGAAGGTGGGATTGAGGCACTGAGAAGCAAGCCGAAAAAGACCTACCTACAGCGGATTCAGCCAGGCTGACGAGCCGTACACAACAGGACTACGATGTCTGCGTTTGTATCGCCAAAGCCTTTTGACCCAGCCAGAGAGAAGTGGGGGTCGTACATGATCCAGTTCGAGTGCGCCCTGGAAGCCAGTGACATGCAGGGCCTCCCCGGAAACCGAAAGAGGGCCCTGTTCCTGAGCCACTGCGAGCCGGAGATCTTTGACATGGCGGAGTCACTCTCGGAACCAACACCAGTCCAGACCATCTTGTGGGAAGTGCTACAAGCCACATTCAAGGCACACTATGCCCCGGTACCATCAAAGTTTA